TTCTTAGGAAGTAACACACAAATCGTGGTAAGAAACTGACAGTTTGAAGTCTGATAAAAAGAGGCATACTGACTACATCTGTTGAATTATCACAAGATACATTAGTTGACAAGACTTAAAGGATGAAGAGACAGATGAGGGGTTTCATACATGCAAGTCTCTTGGACTTCTCCAATGGTTTACATCTACCATTGAAGCTTCTTTAATTAGCAAGGGACTTCTTGGAAAGAAGTAACTCCCTCATGCAATGACAAGTTTCATCTTTTTCATCCAATTCAAGTCTATGCAGAGCACAAAAGCATTCAGAAATGTATTTCTTACAATTAATCATCTATTGATACAAGCTAAATAGAAAGAACTTGAAAAGAAACTTTTGCCTTACTGTTATAGAAGGCTCCACGACAATATCCATGTACAGTATCCATGTAAATATACACACCTATACACACAAATTACATACTATGTATTCAAACATTCTCTCTGAAACACATATAGGTGGTTGTGGAAGGTATTTTCTCTAGGAGTACATATAGAAAAGTGACAGAACTGAAAGGAACACATAACATGGGTTGATTTAAGCATTTGTTGCTGCTCCTAGGTTCTCTCCAGAGCTACAGCCTCCTGCTTTCATCTTTCATGCCTTAAGCAGAAGATTAATATTTTCTTTCTCAAACCAGCAATATAATTTTTCAAAAAACTGTTTATTTAGCATTAGCAACCATATGGATGTGTCTTGTGTTGACTTGTTTAACTTGTGCAGCCTTCTCCTCTTCCAGAATCCCCATATAGATTTAACCATTGGTTCATACAAATTGCATGCCAGGCAAGTACAGTCAACTTCTTCCAGTTTCAAGGTGTGAATCTGCAAACATGTGCTCCTGGATACCTTTACCTGTATGAGCTCTCCTGACAAAACCAAGTTATTCACATGCACAGCTGCTTTTAGAGCTGATCCCCTTAGGTATTAAGTCAGTACATAAAATATTGAGATTTTCCTGTACTTGAGAAAACAAGAGGACATCACTCTTCATTACAAGACAAAATTCCACGGTATATCAGAGCAACACCTAAGCAATTAAACTCACTGTAGGAACTTTCTGAAATCTTCAATAAACCTACTTATCTAGATGGAAAAGCAGGTTATGTTTCCACAGTGATTTACAGTACAGCAGAGAATAACAGAATACTTCTGTTCTTGAAGATGCCGTTATTTTCTTTAAAAAAAAGTTTAAAAGGTAAAATGGAGCCCTCAGGATAAACACTGATTTCTAACACCTAAAAATATTAACAACAGATGACTTAAAGTCTTTCATCTTCAGTGCTTCAAACCAACCGAATTTTAACTCGGCAGCCCTCTGGCTCTCAGAAATGTACTCGGAAAATGTTCCATTGCTTTGAAAGAGCCATTTGGCTCAAGGGAGAATCACACACAATGGGATTTCTTCCTGGCATTTGAAGTAGAAGCTGCCAGATATTGGCAAAGGCCTTACTATTGGTATTGCTCTAAAGAAAATGCCATGTTTAGCAAGCAAAAACAGCTTAGCTGTTCCACACCATCTTTTCTAGCTGGTGGAGATAACCCAACTCAATTTCCAAGAAAAAAACACACAACATAACACTACAATCTCCTGCTTCATTGCACAGGCAGAAAAAAACCTCACTAGACTATGAAAGCCATTATTTCAATTAAGGAGTAACTTTAAGTGGTTTAACAGTATCTGTGGGAGGCAAGCAGAAACTGAGTCTTCAGTCACCTTCTAGCAAAACCCAAAACTTTCTGCTTTGTATTTGTGATACAGAATTTAATTTTAAAGTGAAAGACAACAGAGTTGATGGACAACTCATAATTCCAGAATCTGAATTATGTTCTGCTCAGAGTTGAAACAAGTCATCATTCATCATAACAAAAAAAGACCAAAAAAAAAAAGAGACAGACCAAAAAAAAAAAAAAAGACAGACCAAAAAAAAAAAGAGAAAGCCAAAAAAAAAAAAAAGACAAACCCAAAAAAAAAAGACCAAAAAAAAAAAGAGACAGACCAAAAAAAAAAAAAGCGACAACTCTTTCTAGGAAAAAAAGACAGAAAGAAGGAAAGACAGAAAAAAGACAGCAAGAAAGACCAACAGCCACACAGAAAGACAAAAAATAAATAGTACAATTTCAACATGCTCATCATCTGGAAAGGTTAAGGAGTTAGAAAGCAGCAATCGGTTTCAAAACAGCCATGTTGTAAAGCTGCAGCCAGTTCTCCCTGCCAAGTTTAGTGGTTCAGTCCAAGAGAGGCGTACCAGAGGTGGTTAACAGGCTGCAATGATGACTTTTAGCTTTCAGCATTAATTTTGCCTTTCTGACTGTTGTCTTCTAAAAAGAAAGACACCACAGTGATACCACCAATTCATACATGGAATATGTGGGTGTCAGCGTACTCTGAAAAAGAGTAATCACAGAACATATTTTGAGCTTTACACTGGACATCAGTTTCTCCCCTTCAAACCAGAGCAACATAATTTTCAGAAATGTTGACTGTAAGTCATCTGCTGCCTGCCTATACAGCTGCTTATTTTTGCAGATTGTAAAAAACATCTGAAGATCCTTTCAGAATGAAACATGCAACGTACATATTATAATAGTACCCATGAATTTATGTATCTTATAACAGAGGAGTATAGTGCAGATGCTTAAAAATAACACCATCTTTATTTCAAAAGAAGTTACTCCTATCCAGAGGTAACTACTCAGAATCAAATTGCCCAAGTTAACACAAGCAGAAAGGGGTAATAAATCTAGTGTCTAGCAACTCTCTAGCAACAACCACTTCCATCTGTCGTAGGTCTGTCTCATGCACACTTGCACAGTCCCCTTTGTTTTTACCAGGTTTAAGATCTGATCTTCCAGAAGTGCACTCTAGTATGCAGGGGAAAAAAAATAATACCCAAGTGATTCTCTATAGTTAACTCCCAGATAATTTTTTTTTAATTTCATATTTACCTTATTTTTTTTTATAAAAAGCAGCCATGCATGGCCTGGGCTTTTCACAGACTGGAGTGTAAATGAGGACATCCACATTAGTAATTCTCCTCTTTAACCACCTTGAAATTGTTTTTTTCCACTTTGTAGTTAAAATAGGGACATTCCTTCTTTTTAAGAGACTCTGGCTCAGAACCTGTGAAGGAAGTTGTAAGAGGTAAGAACAGACCTGATCAGAAAATATTTCCCTTAAAAAAGGCAGGTGGTAAAAATACCCTACATCCACTCCTGTCTTTCATCTTTCTCTCTTCAAAAAAATTCTAATTCTTCCCAGACCAGATACTGTCACTTCAGTTTTACGGCGCCTTTGTAGTGTCATAACAATAACTTGGCATCGCAAAACTGGGTACCACAAAGCCATAAAGACCCAATCACAGGGCTTAACTAGGTGATTTTTTTTCACTGCTGCATGCATCCTGTGTCAAGCAAATGTTTCTATTTTACTCAAAGACATAGGTGTTTTCCCTTTTGCTTTGGAACATTGCTTCCTTTTTGGAAGAAGTAACCACTCTTGATGAATTAGTTCCTTTCCTTTATCTAAATCAAGGTCTTTATTTTTTTTTTTTTCTCCATGAAGCAGTCTTGCAGTATATTTCGTGTTTGTTTTTCACATAGTTATTAATAAGCCCACAAGACCTAACATACTGATTTTTTTTTTTTTTGAGGAAAAAAAAAAATGTATCTGGTGATTTGGGGCCTGAAATGTCATTAAATACCTGACATTTTTTAGAAAATGTAAAGAAATAAAGATCTAGCCAACAATTGCTTCAAGTGCTGAGAGAGTTGTCCATTCAAGTGGTTTTTTGGTTTTTTTTTTGATGCAGGGGTTTCCTTGTTCCCAGTCTGGTAAAGCCTAACGTGGCACAGTTGTGGGCCCAGGAGATTTGCCACATACACTTGGGAAATATACAGCTGTTTCAATCCCTGTTCACAGGTCACTAGTGAGGCTCAAAGCATTTCCAAAAGACACATATGTACAAGCACACACAACCACACACTGCACAGTCCAACACAGGCGGAGCAGAGCTTTTATCAGCAGCTCCCTAAACACCAACAGAGCATGGATAGCCCATACACTGACTTAGTCCCTTTGATCACATGCAGGCAGTGAGACCCACAGAAAATAGATAAGATTTAGCAAGAGGAGGAAGACATAACTTAAGGAAAAGCAACATATTGTATAGCCATTCAAGCATGCATATGACTCAACGTTTCAGGAGAGGAGAATTAACTCATTCCTTGTCTTGACACAAAATAAATTAATAAGTATAGACAGACATTCGTCCTCCTCTTTAATTTGTGAATTGCTCCTGTCTAACTCCTGAGATAACTATCTGAGGTAACCTTCTACCTTATGTCATCTTGTTACTCTGCTGCTGTTAAACATCTCTTCTCCATTTAGATCACACCCTCATGCCACTTCAGATATTGGCATTTATTTTCACTGAAGAATTAGTTTTTAAACTAATGTTTTAAGACAAAAAAGATACTATTAAACTTCAAAAAAAAAAGTAATTAGACTATGCAAAGAGCTTGTTTTAGAACTAGCAAGGCATTAAATGCAAGTTCAAAGGCAGAGAAATCTGTTCTTTAATCACTCGAGTTTCTAGTTCAGTTAATACTTATTCCAAAATTTCAGGTCATGGCATTGGAACATACACCCCTGAGCAAGATGTACCTCCACTTACTGCTTCCCCAACACTCACATACAGTAATTTCCTGTTTGCACATGCTGAAGACCCTTCTCTCCCTGTTGTGACTTCAAGCAATGAAGTTTTTCAGATACACAATGTTTATTAAACAAGAACTGGGAGACAACTTATCTAAAATAAAGAAAAAAAATCCAGCAGTGATCAATTAGTTTGATTTACATGCAAACATACTTTTAAAAAATTTTCTTCCAGTGCAACTGCAGAGTTGTACAAAACCAAGGAAACATGCAGCATCTTCAGCAATGCTGCCAGTGTCTGCAGGCCTATGAGAAGCTAGATGAGTCCAGAATTTGGAGGTCAGGGAAAGGTTGATGCCTCATGAGGATGCCATTGCTGACACCAGCCAACAGCTCTAGAACACTTAGAACAGCACAGCACCAAAACATGAAGAACATCACAAAATGCAACCGATCTCCCAGCTTCTTTAGACAGCCTTCCTGATAAAGCTGCTCCCGATGGCCTAAGTCACCCTTGCAGTGGGAATACTTCTCCTTACAGCAGCTTTCAGGGACCTGAGCTTTTTCATCTGAAAGATGCCAAGAAGCAGCTGTTGCATTTAGCCAGTCCACGTAGCTTTGGACCCCACAACACTGCAGCTTCCTCTGTATCACATCCACAGCTCTGTTGCCAGGAGCCTGGGAGGGTGTCCCATTGTAGTGATAGACAAGGTGACCCATAGTGCTTTCCAGCTCAGAAGCCATCCGAATAGAGTAAAACTGTGCCAGAACTACTGAAGACACTTCTAGGCAAAGAAGGATCAGCAAGAAGTACATGAGAGCCCCTTGCTGATAACGGGAGCTCTTCACAGAAATAGAGATAGCCAAAAATCCAGTAGGTAGCAAGATAAGTGCAGCTGCAATAGCCAGCCAGCCAGGGAGAGGCAAAAAAGACTCCTGAAATAAATATCTGTAGCTCCTGTGCATCACGATCACAAAAACTCCACCACAGACCAGAAGTGCAGCAGTGCCCCAGAAGATGAAGCCTAGTAGCCTCAGCAGAAATCGAGCAAAGGGCCTGAGCCAGGACTCCTCATAGCTCCATGGAAATGATGAGGACAATAACACCACCACAGCTCTAACTCTCCTCATTCTGCTTACTCCTAACAGACCAGACCCTCACCACCACCATTTAAGAGGTCTCCACCCCACTCATCCAGGTGTAGCAGATGACATCTCCACCCAAAAACAACTTGCAAGGCAGCAACACTGATGAGACTCCCCAGAACAAAGACTACACCCTGCATCAATAAACTATATGCTGCTGCTTGTTCAATGCAGCCTGCAGAAACCAGGAGGGTATGTGCCAAGCTTGCTATCAAGAGGTCGTTTACTCTGCTATCATTAGAGACTTTTGTATTTGAAGGGGGGGAATGACTGGGCAAAGGCTGAACCCCTTGCTTTACTACATCCATGTGTTAATGAGATAAATGTAGAGAAATAGCCAAGGTGGTAGCCAGCAGTGTTAGATCAGATCATTTATACTGCCCAGGGAATAGAGGTAATCCGACTATCAGTCTTACAGCAGTAGCTAAGATGGCAACAAATGAACAAGTCAGAGTCCATAACGAAGGCATAGTTTAAGCAGAGCTACTCAGTCAGGGATCTCCGTAGGTAACACTCACCTAGACTCATTATCCTTCACTGTGTGTTTGCCATTCGTTATATCTTATCAGGCGCATAATGATGTTAATAATATTTTGCCCTTTTTTACACAGCAAGGTTTATGTGTTGATAGCTTCAATCACTCAAGTCACCTGGATGAGAAATCCCTACCATTTCACACTTGTACGCCTCAGCTGGCACCACCAGTGGTTTGACGGAGTGCTGTAGTAACTGAATAAAAACAACAATAAGGACTGTATTACCTTTTCCTTGTAAGTAAAGAAACTGTATTACACACCAGCTAAATGAATTCACAACAATCCCAAAAGGATTAATGCCACTTATCAACCAGCAAAAGAGCATTCTTTCTCAAAGAGGTGACACAGAAGACCCAAGCAGGATGGGAAACCTGCGTAAAACTTGACACAGGCACCAGGAAGGCAGATCCCAAGGCCAACAGTGATTCCCTAATCATCCTGATGATGTCCCACAACATCTCTTCTGTTTCTCAAGATGCAAAACAGGACTAATACAACAGGCATACATAAGGGAGAATACCAAGAAATGAACCTCCTTTCCAGGAACATGAGATCCTGCAGGTGCTGCAGAAAATCAGAGCAAGTCATTGCTCAGATCCCTGGAACCCTGTAAAAGTCTCAGGAAAGCTGATGATACCATATCTGTCAGACATTTTATAAGGACTTGTTGCTGTTGTATATGCTACGCACACACAGATGTTGGACTGATCCCCGTCAAAACTTCTATGCGCTGTACAAACATGTCATTAAGGCTAATTATTTTGAAATGAGATAAATTACTTTTATTATTTTTAATCTTGCCATTAACAGTAATTAACATGCAGTGATTAATTGTTAAATCTTAACCAAATGTTTATTTCAAAGCTGTTCTAGGATGTATGTTTTCCTGCAACTCGTCTCTGAAGTCTGTGTTTGCCCTCTCTCCTGTTCAGCTTGCTGCTATTCCCAGCCCCCCAGCTGTGTTGATTTCACTGCCATTCACTTATTCTCTTGAATGCTTTTTTCTCTGATTTCTATGTTCTGCATCAAGGAGAGGGAGAACGGGGAATGGAAAGGATTTCCCCTCACATACATACACACAGGCAAACTACTCTGATTTAATGTTTCCAGGATGTAGAAGAAACATATCAGAAACATGAGGGGAAACATACCAGAAACATATCAGAAAATACTGTGAGGAGTAACAACTGCTTATTGCTAGTTTGCAAGCTTTGTGAAAAAAGCACATGAACCTACTTGTCTTCTTTCTACCTTCTTCTATGCTTATAAAGCTTAATGAGATATTAAGAACTGAGTTACAGCACTATATACTTTTAGCTTATTCTGCAGCCTCTGAAATACATTACAAAGGCTCAAACTGCCTACAGGAGAATTTTACTGCACCTCTTGTTTGTTTCAGGCAGGATTTCTGTGATCCTCTCCCTGTGAATACAGAAGAGATAATTTCAATGGTTATTGAAGCCTAGAAGCTCTTATCTTGCTAAATATTCCCCAAATACAATAACTTCCCATTTAATTAAATCTGACTTTTTGGATCACTATGACAGGTTTTTTTTACTTCTTTCTTAGGGCTGTGGGACAGATGGGGAGGAGAGAGGGGCGGGGTGAAGTAGCTTTTGTAAGTGGAGGTGTGTGTGCTGCCGCACACTCTAATCCTTCCACCAGTGCCTTCGCAGTGGCTCAGCCTGTCACAGAGAGCTGTGAGCCAGCCTACAGGAGCACTGAACCTTCTGCACACAACCTCCTCGTGAAGTCAGGACTTTCATGGCAGTACAAGCGAACAGAAGAACCTGCATGCCTGCTTATCCACCAGGGGAATGAGAAGCACCAACACTAGAAGCTGACTGGGAGCCAGTTCACAGGTATGAACTGTCAGCGCTCAGTGCTGTCTGGGAGGATGGAGCATACCAAGGACTGTACAAGAGGAAATAGCTCCAGTGGGGCTTAGTATTAGCAGGGCTGTCTAACACCCCTTGCCCACTTTGTGATAGGCAATGCATAATGACTCAGGAAAAGAGAGCTTCTGTTCAAAGTGTTTGCTGTCTGGTAAGACAATGAAGGACAAAAAAACCCATAGAACTGGCCCCTGAAGTACCCAAAAGACCTAACTAGCACCCTCAATAGCACTGCAATTGTGCTAAGTAATTTTATCTGCATGTGCAGCCAAAAGTTTGGAAAAAGCCATGAGTGGAGCTATCCATCAAGAGACTATAGTGTGACAAAGAGAGTACAGGTAAGGTAGAATAGGAATGTTCCTCTGTTTTCTTTCCAGTGGTAAACAGCATAACATGATAAATGCCAGCCCCGCTTTCTCTGGAGTTGTTTCTGCTTATGAACTGATGAGTATTGAAATTCAAATGTGGGTGTAACAGATAACACTTCTTAGACAAACTACTTTCTGGAATGTTGCTGAAAGTATAATCCTTCAAGTTAATAAAATGCCAACTGTATATTTTTTAAATATATTGTTCTAGCAAGCTGTGACTGACACTAAATGGCTCTGAGGTGCCCGGATGGTCAAAGAGGTTAATTCCACATGAGTCCAGGAGTGGGACCGGAGAGCCGTCACGTCAACATTGTGGCTGTGCAGATGTGATGAAGCGGGTGACTAGACTCCTTTTAAATTGCATGGGCCAACATACAGATTGATCAAGGAGCACATCTGAGCTCTTGCCAAAATTGGCAACACTTCAAATCAAGGTGGCCGTCTTGTCCATTCAGACTTGTGCGACCAAGGAGAAACAAAGAGGTGACCATGGGATCAGGGTAGTCAGACAAGACCATCTTCTAAATTTAGAGAGAGACCACATATATAATGACAACAGATCTCAAAGCCAGACCCTCAACCACTGCATTCACTGTAACAGTGTCAGAGAAGAGCCCTAAAGCTACCTCAGAAGAACAGCTGGCATTTCCCTTGTATCCGTGCACACATAAAGCTGCTGTGTCTGGACCTTGTAGGTGACGTTAAAGCACTCTGGAAGAGGTTTTGTTTGAGAGTTTAGAACATTTTTTAAGGGTCTTGTTAGATTAAAGCGCATCCATAGCATAGGAAATGACTTTAAAAGTTTAGTAAAGGTTTTTGTCAGCTTCAGCTACCCCAGCTTTTACATTAAACTACTCACCACCCCACCCACCCTTTTGACACTTTCAGTGCACAGAATCTGGCATGTCACCCAGCAGGGCTGACTGATCCAGGAAAAGTGGTAAATGGGTATCGTTGGTATCACTCCTCCCTTCGCTGATCCTGACCCTATCTGCTGGCCCTGGCAGTATGTCTTTCCCAAGCTGAAGAGACTTCACATGTAATCTTTTCAGTTTCCAAGAAAAACTCTGGCTGTGTGTAAAGTGACAGCAAATAAATAGTAATATTTGTTGAACAAAACTCTTAAACTTTGATTCTTCTCAATCAGATCATTCAGGCTATGATGGACAGTCAAAACACCACACAGCAGAAGAACTGGGCACCCAGGGGAAGGATATTTAAAAAAAACCTGAAAGCTCCCAAGAAGTCTATTGGTTCATTGGGAACAAAAAAAGCATTGTCTTATGAGACATGCCGTATTAAAAGATCACTCTAAAAGCCCAAATGCAAAAAGGATGAACAAGCCTGATTGGACCCAGATCACAGTCACTGCCACGCACAACCGGTTGCCACGGCAACCAAGGTCAGATGCTGCTGCCTTGCATGAGACTCAAATCTCTTATGGAAACCTTGAATCAAGCAGAGCAGATATGATTGCCACCTCCTCTTCATGGAGAAAAGGTACACTCCACAAGAACTGATTTACCATTGTGCAGGTGTTTCAACTAAAGCCAGTCAGATGTTTACTCATGGCTCTCTTTGCCTAACCAAGAGTGGCCTTTTTTGTAATTGAAGAACTGCAACAAATTATTTCAGGGTTTATATTTAGCTTTGCTTTTAACATTCCAGATTTTCATTGGTATTGAAAATATTGAAAAATGAATGTCAAAACTTTGGTGTTTTCCCTTTTTCTTTCCTTTTATGAACTGAACACAAGAAAAAGACTAAAACATTTTTTTAAAAATAAAAAAAAAAAATTCCCCTACTTTTTTTTCCTTTTTGCAAATCTGGAATTGTTATAAAATATCTTGGAACTGGGATGAATACAGACTATCAAAGGAAGAAAAAAAGGGAAAAAAAAAAAAACCAAGAAGAAAACAAACACAACCAAACAAACAAAAGCACTTTCTGTATTTCCATCACTTTGGAATTTCAGAAGTTGGAGGTTTTAAAAGACACAGAATGTAAAAAAAAAAAAAAAATTAGAATGAAAAGGAAACTTCTGTTGTTTTGACAACCTTCATTTTATTGCAGTTGGTAACAGAAACAGGTTGGACGAAAAGGTGCTTTGTAAAAACTTCAAAAAATGAAGAAAGGACAGAGCACTGTGAAATTCAAGTCACCCTGACACTTAAAAGTGTTTT